TCAATGGTGTTTTAGGATGTCAAACAAGTATTATAATAATGTAATAATGATTTATAGAATTATTCCTATGACGTAAAATCCATTTAGCCTAAATGTACAATATAAATGAATATTTCTAAATTATACTTTAGTCTATATTACACTTTAATAAAGGACAATTAAAATACTTTTGTCCTTATTTCTTCACTTGCAAGAAATAAATTCTTGAGCTTGTTTTCACCAGATGACCATGCTGATCGCGTGAGCAAAGTGCACACTTTTCTTTAAATCACAGCACAAACAGGTTGCCTATTCTTTAAGTCTTGTGCTGTTTTATAAAGGAACAAAGCCATATCATGATTTCAGTGGCAAAACATAACGCTAGAGACATTTATGTAAGGTTATACTTTTACATCTCATATGTTCGGCAAAAGGCGGATTCGAACTAAAAAAGGGGAAACTCTCGACTCTCCCGATTGCCGCTCCGCCCCAATGGTTAATCCTGCCCTGCCTTCAGGTGCTTAACCCTTTAAAAGTTTTAAAATTACGATAAGTCGATGGTCCCATGTGACTTTCTTTTGTGAAACACAAAATATAAAATACTTAATTTGTTTATGAAATTAAGCTTTAAAAGAAGTACTGATGTTAATCATTCTTTTATATGGTATAGACCAATGTTACCTAACATAACTTTTAAACAAATTCTTTGGACCAACACCATCACATTTTTTTCTCTTCAGTATGTGCATCAATGCATCAAAATGTAGAGTGCATCAAAACCTGGAAGACTAATTTTCTTAAAATAAAGTTTATATAAATATAAAAATATATTTTTGTAATTTGTATCATCCCTATAACATACAGTTCTTTTTTTGTCTTTCAGGAGGATTTTCCAAAGGAACAGATGCTAGAGAAGTAAATAATTATAAACACCACTTTACACGTGACAACACATCAATTAACAACTAGATTGTATGAAAACAAAATACCTGTACATTTAATTTTTACAAAACAAAATATATGATACTGACAATAACACTCAATGTCTTATTGGACTAAAAGGAGAAAGACTTTGGCCAGTGTACAACAGATAGAAAAAGAGATTTTGGATGAATACAAAACACAAACTGAAAACACTGATGACTCTAGTGTTCATGGTCACACACGTCAAGACACTGAAAGTGGTGATATATCCTCTTGTGATGCAGTTTCCTCTCTTTTGCCCCCACATGAGAACTCATGTGACCTGGAAAAAAACACGGAGTCTGATTTCATCTCTGATTCTGACAATCTCTCCGATCCTGGCAGCATCCAAACAAATGTAGAATCTGACAGCAGTAGCAACAATTCACTTAATCATTTGCAAACTAAACTGCAAACATGGGCAGCATCTTTTTGCATCCCTCTAGTAGCTCTAACAGCACTATTGGCAATCTTAAGACCAGAATTTCCTGATTTGCCCAAGGATGCAAGGACTCTTCTTGATACACAGACAAATGTACCCGTGGTAAACATTTGCAATGGCGAATATTACCATTTTGGCCTGGTAAATGGCTTGCAAAACATATTAGGTAGGATCTCCAATATTTCTGAATATGTCCAAACTCTTGCATTGCAGTTTAATATTGATGGCATCCCCCTGTTTAAAAGCTCCGGAAGACAATTTTGGCCAATTCTTGCAACAGTTGACTGTGATAAAACACGATCCCCATTTGTAATCGGTTTGTTCTGTGGCAATAGTAAACCGAGCTCAGTCTGGGAGTATTTGAGAGAATTCATTGCAGAATTAAAAGTGGTTTTGCGAGAAGGCATTGTAAAGAATGGTACTCGTTTCAAAGTTGTTGTCTCCTCCTTTATTTGCGACGCCCCTGCACGAGCATTCCTCAAAAATGTCAAGTCTCACAATGGCTACTTTGGTTGTGACAAATGTTCCCAGACTGGAGTATGGTCTAATAAAATGACATATCCTGAAACAGATGCTCCACTGCGTACTGACATGGATTATGAAATGATGACAAATGAAGAACACCATTTGAACAATACCTTAAGCCCCTTGCACGAACTAGTAAAAATGGTAACCCAATTCCCGTTAGACTACATGCACACCTGCTGTCTTGGAGTGATGAGGAGATTAATTCAAATGTGGATGAAAGGGAAAAAGCTTAGAACAAGGTTGTCATCACAGCGTATCACACAGATTTCTGACAGACTAATTGCTCTCCGTTCGTTTATGCCTCAAGAGTTTGCCAGGAAACCTCGTTCTTTGACAGATGTGGATAGATGGAAGGCCACAGAGTTCCGCCAGTTCATGATATACACGGGTCCCGTTGTTTTAAAAGGATGTGTTGAATCCGAAATTTATGACAACTTTCTTCTGTTTTCTGTTGGCATGTTTCAGCTGCTTAGTCCTGGCCTCTCTGATTCAATGATTGAATTTGCCAACAAGGCTCTGTTGTCATTTGTAACACATTTCATCAGATTGTACGGCGCAGATGAAGTGGTTTACAATGTCCACCAGGTTATCCATCTTGCAGACGAGTATAAAGCGTTCGGCCCTCTTGATAATATTTCAGCATTTCCATATGAGAATTACCTGGGTGGATTGAAACGATTGGTTAGAAAACCAGATCGACCTTTACAGCAGGTTGTCAAAAGACTTTCAGAAATGCTTCCAAAAGAATCTCACCAACCAAATGGAGATCTACTTCTCTCATCAAGTTCAAAAGAGCTAAAAAAGGTGCATTTGTCAAATTGTGTTCTGTCACCCAAACAAGGAGACAACTGTATCAAAATCGACACAGACATAGCCATCGTTAAGGACATAATCAAACAGAATGAAAGCATTCATATAGTGTGCCAGAGGTTCCTAAAACGAGTATCATTTTACACATACCCATGCGACTCCTCTGCACTTGGATGTTACAGAGTTTCTGTCTTGCAAGAAAAGACTGAAATCGTACCTTTGTCCAGTGTGAAACAGAAGTATGTACTTCTTCCTGAAAACGAGAATGTTTTTTTTGCAATACCCCTTCTCCATTGCAGATAGTGTTTGTTCAGCAGAGTGAGCACGTATGGTGTAGTGTCAGGCTTTTGGAAATGTTTTTACAGTTAAATAAACAACACATATTGAAAAAGTGGAAACAAATTGTTCAAAATACTGTATATAGTACCGTATCATAGAGAGTTAGTTAACCTGAAAAAATGAAAATTCTATCATCACTCTCATGTTGCTCCAAAGCCATAAGATTTTCGTTCATTTTCATATTAATGAAATCTGAGAGATTCGGGTCACTCCATTGACAGTCCAGACACCAAATCTTTATATCAAAAAATGTCATAACATTGAAACAAATCCAAATGAATTGAGAGGTGTAATCTAACTCTTGAACAAAGTATAAATATGAATACGATGGAAAGATTTAATCTAGGCTTTTTAATCTATAACGTTTTGGTTATCTGTAGTACTGTCGTTGGAGTGACCAAAATCTTTAAAAAAAATATCTAAATATGTCTTTCTAAGATAAAGTAAGGATGACAGAATATTAATTTTCGAGTAAACTAATGGGTAGTTTGTTGTAGTGACTGAACTTTGAGAAAATACAAATTTCACTTGTTTTCTAAGTGATGCAACACCCACTCTTTCTGTTTTTTTTCATTGTATACTAATAAATACATTACATTACATTACATTACATTACATACAAATAAATTAATTCATGCATGACTCTTACTCCACTGTGATTGGTATGGGTAAGGGAGCTGAACACGCAGCAACCCAGAACTAATCATAGCTGGGGTCAACATTTCTCAATTTTTTTTTTATCTTTCCCAGACAGTAATGGATAAAGTGAACCCATGTTACTCATTAATAGAATTTCCAGACAAAAGCACAGATGTTGTCCCAGATAATTGGCTTTTTGAACAAAAGTGCTACTGGCCAAATTACAACCAAGCAAAATTAAAGGCAGCAGTAAAGAGAAAAGAGCCTGTCCAAGATGGATGGAAAGTCTTTGAGCCTGTCCGATTGCTCAAAAAGTGTGGTACGATTTTTTAAAAATTATTATTATTATCTCTATGCACTGATACTACATGCTTTGCTCAATTTTATATTATATTATTCATATCTATATTACAGAAACCCTAGAAAAAGCACAGAAGATGCTAAAAAAGTATGTGGACTGTGATATCCATACGTCAGAAATAACTTCTGATGAAGAGGGCCATGAAAGAATGAAAAGGAAGAAAAGGTTAACTTAATGATAATAAATACCGATGATTTGTTTTTTTATAAGTGTTGTCCTATTGAGAAGTAATTTAAATGTTTCACTTTACAGGCCTAATCCACGCTTCCTAAACTTTATAGAAAATGAATCTGACCAGGATGATGATGCACCAAAAAAATCACGGCTCGCAGCTCCTCCCGCAATTGTTTTTCCAGGTATTGTGGAAGTATAATTAAACTGTTTTTGTGGTTACTTTAAAAAAAAAAAAAAAGGTATTCATGATCAAATGTCCCTGAATTTCAAGGCGATTCAAACTTTTTCCCCAAAAAACTTCACAAGAAAATTTAGTTCAATTTAATTTGGAATGCACTGAACCTGCCATAAAATTGAATGAACATACAACTCCCCCCAAAATGTTCTTGGGAGAAGCTATGGGTTTGTGAAATGGAGCGGCCTTACGGGACTGTATAAGTCACTGGACGCTGGTCAGGGATGCTGGAGCCGTCACCAACTGGCCCTGGTGTGGCAGGCATGATAGGAAAAGGCTCTGCAGCATGGCATAATCTATATATTGGGTCAGGGAAAAATGTATTCTTCCCCCTTGCATCCTTGAACGTATGGTTAATTTAACCCATTATAAAAATGTCCTTAAGAGCAACATCATTAAAATCTAACAATTGAGAAAGTTCACAAATGTCCGCCTTTAGTGATTTTCAAACATGACTGAATGAATTCAAAGCACACAATTTCATTACTCAAAACCCTGCTGTTAATTACACTTGTTCATTTGTTTTGTTTTTTAGAAAGTCACATGAACTTTGAGACCAGTCCAGCTGTCTCAAACCTCTCTTCACTTGGTATGTGTTTATGTTATTCAATTCAATGCCTCTTTTACATTGTATCACAGCTGTAATAAATGTTCTTCCAGCTCCACAAATTCTGAAATATCTTTTTTTAATTAAATTTCTATCTTGATACTTTAGTTTGTGGGCCCTGTATCTCACCTGGTTACCAGTTGATTAAACATTACCCTGCAACATTGCGCAAAAGTTTGCCCTTTGTTTCATAACCTTTAATGTCTTTTGCTAATTTTTTTCAGAGAGACACATGAACTACCACGCCTCCAGTCCTGCATCAGACATCACTTCAGCTGGTATATATTATTGAAATGTAGTCTATTAAACATTGGTTGTCTTGTCAGTTTAACACAAGCATTTCATGCCTAAAAATAAACTGTGCACATTTCTCTCAGAAAATTCACACAGAGTTCACCAGGGCACATACCAGGGGTCAGACCACACAAACCTCGGAGCACACAAGGGCACAAACTATGTAGCACACCAGGGATCACACTATGGAGCACATCAGGGAACATACCAAGAGGCAATCCACGGAGCACTTCAAGACCCAAACAACGGAGCACACCAGGGATCACACAACGGAGCACTCCAGGGATCACACTATGGAGCACACCAGGGATCACACTATGGAGCACACCAGGGATCACACAACGGAGCACACCAGGGATCACACTATGGAGCACACCAGGGCTCACACAACGGAGCACACCAGGCATCACACTATGGAGCACACCAGGGACCACACAACAGAGCACACCAGGGATCAAACTATGGAGCACACCAGGGACCACACAACGGAGCACACCAGGGAACATACCAAGACGCAAACAACAGAGCACACCAGGGATCACAGTACGGAGCACATCAGGGCACACTGACTGAACTGGTCAATGGTAATGACTTTTTTAATTTATTTTGAAAACAGTTATTTGGAACTTTTTATTTGGCCTTTATGTTGATTTTATGTCATTTTTTAATTATTATTATGTCCTTTTAGGTGGGACTTACAGGCTAAAATATAATTATACTATAAATGTTGACATCCATCCTATCTTTTGCTGCTAGTATTTACTGTCACTCTTTTTTTTTAAAGAAAAATACATGAACCAAAACTCCAGTCTGACTGTTTCAGACATTTTTTCAGCTGATTCTTCAAACTGCTAACCTCTTCAAGACTAATTGTTTTACAGATGAGTTTTAGGAACTTATAAGAAGTTTAAAAAAACTGTTGTGTTTTCTTCAGAAAATCCAAGAGCACAACTAACATCGCAGGGGAATGAACATACCAACGGTAATAAATCAAAAACAAAAATTCCATGTTCAAGTATTAATTTAAACACTAAACCTGTTAGTAATTTCTGATTAGGGTTATTACTGAACTAGTAGAGTTTCTCTCTCTTAATATATTTATTTACTTGTCTACTTTATTTGTAGAGTTGTCTCCTTTCAAGAGGAATGTGCTTAAACTTCTCATGGAAGTTAAGGCAGAGCTAAAAGAGCAGAGAGCAATGATACAAAACTTACAGGGAGTGCCTGCTGTACCTGATCAGGAAATAAGATGTGGCTTGCAGTTACCTTTACAATCTCTTGAAGATTTTGAGGAATTGGAGAGGTTGGATGAGACCGAAAAAAATAGATTGGTATGTCTTGTAATGCAATTATATTTAACCGGGTTCCTACGCAGTTTGGAAAAATATGGAATTTTATTTAATTTCCAGGTCTTGATAAGTATGGAAAAAATAACATAAAGATTACTGAAAAATATGTATGGTTCTAAACGATTGCCCCATTCAGTTTTCATAAAAACAGAAACTATTAGAGATGACTGTACTATATACAGTAGAAATATAATCCTGAAAATAATGCTACCATTTTGATTAAAGGGATAGTTCACTTTGAAATTAATTTTTGATATGCTTTATCTTACCTCAAGGGCATCCAAGATGTAGGTGTCTTTGTTTCCACAGTATTTTCAATTTTGATATTTTTAGGTCAAACCGTTCTTGTCTGTCAGTCATATAATGGAGGTCTATGGTCACCACCTCAAAGAGCATGCACAGAGAAGTCCAAATTAAACATGATTTAATGACTCGTAAAAATGTATTAGTACACATTGATGTTTTTACCTCTTGTAACCACAGCCACGTCCAAGTGATCTGAGGGCGTGGGCGCTTCGGTCTGCTCAAGCGCCAGAAAGCGCCGGAAGTGATCTCTCGCAAGGTTGCGGAAAAACTTCAACGTTGTCTGTTGATATATATTGAAATAATCTTCCATTGCGATTTCCTGTATATCGAAATATGTTTAGATCTTCACAGTGAAAGGTAAAACTTCCGAAATCTCTGTGTAAACAATGAGTGATGCACAACACGCGAGAGAGATCACTTCCAGCGCAAGCACAATTTATGATACACCACAAAAGAAAACATGTATTCACACAATTTTCTCTATTTGTACAAATTGCTACACATTCATTCAATTTTGAATTTTGCACACGCAAGTTGAAAGGCATGGATAAAACATTTCTACAACATGTATCAAGTTCATTGTGCTTGCACGTGTTGATCATTTTGATACTATATTCATCCCATAGTGCATGCTCTTTGAGGTGGTGACCATAGACCTCCATTATATGACTTACAGACAAGAACGCTTTGACCTAAAAATATCAAAATTTAAACTGTTGCAGAAACAAAGACACCTACATCTTGGAGGCCCTTGAGGTAAGCTAAAACATATCAAAAATTAATTTCAAAGTGAACTATCCCTTTAATAGGATACAACCATTTATACTACATATGGTCTGAAAACAAATCTACAGAGAGGTTTGGAAATCTAAAAATACCATGCTAAGATACTTTTCTCATTACAGTTGTAAAGTGGGTTTCTAATTTACTGTATACTTTGTCAGTTTGAACGAGTCAGACCATTCTCTGTTGTCCTCTCATGTTTTTATTTTTTGGCACTAATCTGAGTAAATTCTAGAGACATCCCAGGAAATATACCCAGAAACAGAAAAAACTGAATTTGACACCATTTATGTTCGAAAATAAATATATAAACATAGTCCAGTCTGTGGATGCACTTTGAAGAGAGATCAACAGAAAAGTAAAAAAAAAAAAAAAAAAAAAGTCTGTAGAAACATACTGTATGTATGGCTCAGATAAAGTCTATTTAGAAAGGTTAATAGAAAATGTATTTTTGTGTGCATTTAATTGGGCATAATTTTTTTAACACTGATCCCCTTTTTATTAGATTTACCAGCTGTCACTTCTAGGTGGGCATAAATTGGAAGGCACTATAAGAAAAATGTTGAGCCACATTTTAAGCAACAAACTGGCTTCGTCATTGAACTGGGCAGGACGTGGAGAGAAGAGGAGCTTCGAGACCTCAAATCTCTCAAAGATAATGTTCCGTAAGTAATAGATTGGTTTAGTTCAGGTTTGAAAATGCCCTATAAGATATGTTCATTTTGGTGCAACCATGTCAGTTATATTTGAAGATGCAAAAGCCTCTAAATGCCATTTGAAAATCTTATTCTATAATGTTCTTCTATCACCAAGCTTGTATAAGTTCAGTAATTTCACTTAAATAACAATTAATAGGTAATCTTCATTTCAATTTGAGTGAAATTACTGAACTTAAATATACAAGCTTGATAAAATGTATCATTATAGAAGAAAATTTCAAATGGCACTTAGAGGCTTTTGGATCTGAACTCTTCATTTTGTTCCATAATGTTTCAGGTGCATTAAGAAATACAGCCCAAGGAAAAGAGGCCTCCAAGGCAGACTTTTCCGAGGCAGTAAAGAGATGGCTCCGTTATGCTCCAGACCGAGAGGGTGGCAGTGGCAGAAGATCATCTGTTATTTAATTGTTGATTTTTTTGTGTGTCAAACAAAATTAATTACAGTTTTGTTATATAGTTTATCTGTAATAACTACTCCGTACATTTTTCTAAATTATTCTTAAAATACTGATAAATTGTGTATAATTTAAGTTGTTCAATATACTATACGTTTATTAAAATTATATTAAAATATATGTAATATTACAGTATTATAACACTCTCGGCTTTTTACTGAAATATTTAAAGGTTAAAACATTTTTAAATTGCCCCAGGCTGTTTCATTGAGAAAAAGACTATAGATAAATAATCAGCTAAATGAGGTAGGCTACAAATATAATGTTACATTGCTTGTAGTTATAAAAATTCATTTAACTATTATGATAACATGATATTGTGGTCAACAATATATTTTTTTTTTATTCATTTTGTTTCTCTATAGGTCTATTTTGAGGTATCTGCCAGCAATGAGACTGACGCCATACAGCAGAGTTATTCATTCCACTTAAAGGTATTTATGCATGTATTTTTTACTGAACTATACTTATTATTGCTGATTGTGGTTCAGGCACTCAACAACGTCAGGCATGATATATATTATAATATGTATTATTATTTTTTGTTTTTACAGGAATCTAGCTTAGTCTTTGCTCATATTACCCTTTAATATGTTTTGAATGTATATCTCCAATACAATATCCTTTGTGGGAGTACAGTTATCATTAGAATTCTTTAGAAGAGTTTCACATTAGCTGCCACAGTCAAGAGACCGAATCCAACAGGCCAACATTTAACCCACTGCCTATTATACATGCTGCATGCAACAAATATCAACCGGTAGAAGACCGAGCCTTTGTGAAGAGTATTCTAACAAACTTCCCAAAAAAATATTCTTCGTCGGTGGTTAGGCAACGGCAATCAAGTTCACTTGTGTGTGTGTGACACCACGGATCAAAATGTCATTAATTACACTGAAAATTATGTGAGCATCGGTTTTTAGCAAATACTCTCGAATTTTGTACGTGTCGTTGACACAGCGAAGATGGATCACAAGCAGATCTTTGTTTGAGTATACATAGGGGAGAGCGGGGCACAACCTAAAGATTTTTGACTTTCTCAGTTTGTGTAAATCTACTTAGGGTTTATTTTTCCCTTTCCAGTTTAACTGACCGTTTTTGTTTTTGTTTGTTTGTTTGTTTTTTGGTTACAAAAACTCTGTCTTTGTATTTCGACTGCAGCAGGATTTATAGGTTGATTTAGACCACGAAAGATCATAACTCACTTGGAACAGGATTTCAGCTGTGCTGGTTGTAGGAATAGATAAGATAAAATAGTGGAAGACAACTGAGGGAGAGTTAAACTGGGATGTGATATACAGATTACCTCCATCATCAAAAGTCGAAGGTTTATAGTTGTCATTTATAGGATCAATCACTGTCCCATGGTCAGAAATTAGCCAATGTCACCTCATATTTTAGCGCGATTATCATTTACACCATGGGTTGAACTGAAATAGCGTTAAAATGGCTAGAGGTAGGTTAGACGTTTTGTCTCATTTAAGAGCCACCAATCAGCGTGTATGTTTTATACACCTGATTGGTGTCTCTAAATGAGCGCGGGCTGAATGAACCAATGATGCTTTACCATTTTTTTTTTTTATTATTATTTGTCCAAATACCTTTTAACATTAAAAATATTATGTTTAATCTCAATTCGGCGTCCTACTAAAATAAATATTTCAAAAATTAAAAAATTCAAACACATTATATAATGATTTTATTATTAAATGACCCATGATGAAAATACTGTTTTACTATAATATTGATGTCTTTTACTTTCAAGGAGGAACGGATCAACAAGTGCAATGCTGATTAAAGTTTTCCACCATTGTATTTATCCAAATGAGGTTTGTAAATTTATGGCTGTTCTATATTGTGAACCATTAATCTTGTTTGAAAATAACATTTAAAAAAAAAACTTTTTAATGATTGATTCTGAACTGTTATTGCAGGTTTTTCTGGGATCTCCTTAGCTGAGGACATCAAGATGCTGGCCTGTTACTGCAGATGTGGCCTAACTGTACACCACACCAACCTCTCTGCTTTTGATTATATCATGTTCTATTAAGGTAGTTTTATTATTATAGCAAAACAGAGCACATGTGACAGTTTTTCTTTAGGAGTTGCAAACTTTGTTCTCTTGTTGTCTCTCACAACACAAGTTACCTTGCACCACAATATTTTTTTCATTATATTATGTGCACAAATCCTATTGTACAAATCACAAATTAAAAGATTATCCAAGATAAGTTTGAGCAAATACATTACCAGCTCATTACCAACTCTCTGCTTGCCTTAGCTCGATTCAAAACGGTAAGCTTGTATAATGTTTTTTAATTCCAGTAACCTACTGGTGGATTTCCGTGGGAAATTCGAGCATGTCTTTGCGTCATTACGTCACATCTGTACACATAAAGGAGGAGTCTGGGCTCGTAGGCTTAGTAGGCTATACTGCGTGTGAGGATGTTGGATGTGGAGATTTATATTTTTTTTCTTGTTGAGCATTTCTTGGTTGACCATCATGTGGTCATACAAGCATGTGATACAATCACGAGCCTGACATTTCAGCACTTGACAAAAGGACAGCGACTCTTAGCACAGCTGCGTGCGATCGTTTTTGTGAAACGCACGTGAAAAGACGATACTTCGAAAAGTCGCTCGTAAAAATTGCTCATAAGTGCTAAGATTCATCGTTATCTGAAAAATGGTGTGTGTGTGGTGTGCGTGTGTGGTGTGCGTGTGTGGTGTGTGTGTGTGTGGTGTGCGTGTGTGGTGTGTTGCATTGTGCGTGTGTGGTGTGCGTGTGTGGTGTGTTGCATTGTGTGTGTGTGGTGTGCGTGTGTGGTGTGCGTGTGTGGTGTGTTGCATTGTGTGTGTGTGGTGTGTGTGTGTGGTGTGTGTGTGTGTGGTGTGCGTGTGTGGTGTGTTGCATTGTGCGTGTGTGGTGTGCGTGTGTGGTGTGCGTGTGTGGTGTGTGTGTGTGGTGTGTTGCATTGTGCGTGTGTGGTGTGCGTGTGGTGTGCGTGTGTGGTGTGCGTGTGTGGTGTGTTGCATTGTGCGTGTGTGGTGTGTGTGGTGTGTTGCATTGTGCATGTATGGTGTGTGTGTGTGGTGTGCATGTGGTGTGCGTGTGTGGTGTGTGTGTGTGGTGTGTTGCATTGTGCGTGTGTGGTGTGTGTGTGTGGTGTGTGTGTGGTGTGCGTGTGTGGTGTGTGTGTGTGGTGTGCGTGTGGGGTGTGCGTGTGTGGTGTGTTGCATTGTGCGTGTGTGGTGTGCGTGTGTGGTGTGCGTGTGTGGTGTGTGTGTGTGTGGTGTGTTGCATTGTGTGTGTGTGGTGTGTGTGTGTGGTGTGTGTGTGTGTGGTGTGTTGCATTGTGCGTGTGTGGTGTGTGTGTGTGGTGTGTTGCATTGTGCGTGTGTGGTGTGCGTGTGTGGTGTGTGTGTGTGGTGTGCGTGTGTGGTGTGTGTGTGTGGTGTGCGTGTGTGGTGTGTGTGTGTGGTGTGCGTGTGGGGTGTGTGTGTGTGGTGTGTTGCATTGTGCGTGTGTGGTGTGCGTGTGGTGTGCGTGTGTGGTGTGCGTGTGGGGTGTGTTGCATTGTGCATGTATGGTGTGTGTGTGTGTGTGTGTGGTGTGCGTGTGTGGTGTGTGTGTGTGGTGTGCGTGTGTGGTGTGTTGCATTGTGCATGTGTGGTGTGCGTGTGTGTGTGGTGTGCGTGTGGGGTGTGTTGCATTGTGCGTGTGTGGTGTGTGTGTGGTGTGCGTGTGTGGTGTGTTGCATTGTGCGTGTGTGGTGTGCGTGTGTGGTGTGCGTGTGTGGTGTGCGTGTGTGGTGTGTGTGTGTGGTGTGTTGCATTGTGCGTGTGTGGTGTGCGTGTGGTGTGCGTGTGTGGTGTGCGTGTGTGGTGTGTTGCATTGTGCGTGTGTGGTGTGTGTGGTGTGTTGCATTGTGCATGTATGGTGTGTGTGTGTGGTGTGCATGTGGTGTGCGTGTGTGGTGTGCGTGTGTGGTGTGTTGCATTGTGCGTGTGTGGTGTGTGTGTGTGGTGTGCATGTGTGGTGTGCGTGTGGGGTGTGTTGCATTGTGCATGTATGGTGTGTGTGTGTGTGTGTGTGGTGTGCGTGTGTGTGTGTGGTGTGTTGCATTGTGCATGTGTGAGGTGCGTGTGTGTGTGGTGTGTGTGTGGGGTGTGTTGCATTGTGCGTGTGTGGTGTGCATGCGTGTGTGTGTGTGTGTGTGTGGTGTGTTGCATTGTGCATGTGTGAGGTGCGTGTGTGTGTGGTGTGCATGTGGGGTGTGTTGCATTGTGCGTGTGTGGTGTGTGTGTGTGGTGTGCGTGTGTGGTGTGCGTGTGGGGTGTGTTGCATTGTGTGTGTGTGTGGTGTGTGTGTGTGGTGTGCATGCGTGTGTGTGTGTGTGTGTGTGTGGTGTGCGTGTGGGGTGTGCGTGTGTGGTGTGTTGCATTGTGCATGTATGGTGTGTGTGTGTGGTGTGCATGCGTGTGTGTGTGGTGTGCGTGTGGTGTGCGTGTGGTGTGCGTGCGTGTGGTGTGCGTTGCATTATGCGTGTGTGGTGTGTGTGTGTGGTGTGTGTGTGGGGTGTGCGTGTGGGGTGTGTTGCATTGTGCGTGTGTGGTGTGTGTCTGGGGTGTGTTGCATTGTGTGTGTGTGGTGTGTGTGTGTGCGTGTGTGGTGTGCGTGTGTGGTGTGTTGCATTGTGCATGTGTGTGTGTGGTGTGTTGCATTGTGCATGTATGGTGTGTGTGTGGTGAGCATGCGTGTGTGTGTGTGTGTGGTGTGCGTGTGAGGTGCGTGTGTGTGTGGTGTGCGTGTGGTGTGCGTGCGTGTGGTGTGCGTGTGGTGTGCGTTGCATTATGCGTGTGTGGTGTGTGTGTGTGGTGTGTGTCTGGGGTGTGTTGCATTGTGTGTGTGTGGTGTGCGTGTGTGGTGTGCATGCGTGTGTGTGTGTGTGTGTGTGTGTGTGTGTGGTGTGCGTGTGTGGTGTGCGTGTGTGGTGTGTTGCATTGTGCATGTGTGTGTGTGGTGTGTGTGTGGGGTGTGTTGCATTGTGCGTGTGTGGTGTGTGTGTGGTGTTCGTGTGTGAGGTGCATGTGTGTGTGGTGTGCGTGTGGGGTGTGCGTGTGTGGTGTGTTGCATTGTGCATGTATGGTGTGTGTGTGGTGAGCATGCGTGTGTGTGTGTGTGTGGTGTGCGTGTGAGGTGCGTGTGTGTGTGGTGTGCGTGTGGGGTGTGCGTGTGAGGTGCGTGTGTGTGTGGTGTGCGTGTGAGGTGCGTGTGTGTGTGGTGTGCGTGTGAGGTGCGTGTGTGTGTGGTGTGCGTGTGGGGTGTGTTGCATTGTGCGTGTATGGTGTGCATGCGTGTGTGTGTGGTGTGTGTGTGTGGTGTGTTGCATTGTGCATGTGTGAGGTGCGTGTGTGTGTGGTGTGCGTGTGGGGTGTGTTGCATTGTGCGTGTGTGGTGTGTGTGTGTGGTGTGTGTGTGTGTGTGGGGTGTGCGTGTGGGGTGTGTTGCATTGTGCGTGTGTGGTGTGTGTGTGTGGTGTGCATGCGTGTGTGTGTGTGTGTGTGTGTGGTGTGCGTGTGGGGTGTGCGTGTGTGGTGTGTTGCATTGTGCATGTATGGTGTGTGTGTGGTGTGCATGCGTGTGTGTGTGCGTGTGGTGTGCGTTGCATTATGCGTGTGTGGTGTGTGGTGTGCGTGTGGGGTGTGTTGCATTGTGCGTGTGTGGTGTGTGTGTGTGGTGTGTGTGTGGGGTGTGCGTGTGGGGTGTGTTGCATTGTGCATGTGTGAGGTGCGTGTGTGTGTGGTGTGCGTGTGGTGTGCGTGCGTGTGGTGTGCGTTGCATTATGCGTGTGTGGTGTGTGTGTGGTGTGCGTGTGGGGTGTGTGTGTGGGGTGTGTTGCATTGTGCGTGTGTGTGTGGTGTGTGTGTGGGGTGTGCGTGTGGGGTGTGCGTGTGGGGTGTGTTGCATTGTGCGTGTGTGGTGTGTGTCTGGGGTGTGTTGCATTGTGTGTGTGTGGTGTGCATGCGTGTGTGTGTGTGTGTGTGTGTGTGTGTGTGGTGTGCGTGTGTGGTGTGCGTGTGTGGTGTGTTGCATTGTGCATGTGTGTGTGGTGTGTGTGTGGGGTGTGTTGCATTGTGCGTGTGTGGTGTGTGTGTGGTGTTCGTGTGGGGTGTGTTGCATTGTGCGTGTGTGGTGTGCGTGTGTGTGTGGGGTGTGTTGCATTGTGCGTGTGTGAGGTGCGTGAGTGTGTGGTGTGTGTGTGGGGTATGTTGCATTGTGCGTGTGTGGTGTGTGTGTGTGTGGTGCGTGTGTGAGGTGCATGTGTGTGTGGTGTGCATGTGTGGTGTGCGTGTGGGGTGTGTTGCATTGTGCGTGTGTGGTGTGCGTGTGTGTGTGGGGTGTGTTGCATTGTGCGTGTGTGAGGTGCGTGAGTGTGTGGTGTGTGTGTGGGGTGTGTTGCATTGTGCGTGTGTGGTGTGTGTGTGTGTGGTGCGTGTGTGAGGTGCATGTGTGTGTGGTGTGCATGTGTGGTGTGCGTGTGGGGTGTGTTGCATTGTGCATGTAGTGTGTGGTGTGCGTGCATGTGGGGTGTGTTGCAGTGTGCGTGTGGGTGTGCATGTGGGGTATGTGATGTGAGTGTGTGGGGTGTGCGGGTGTGTGGGTATGTTGTTGTCTTGCATGGGGTGTGTGGTGTGCGTGTAATGTGCGAGTGTGAGTGTGTGTTTCTGTGTGTAAAATTAGGTAGTAAGTTAGGTAGCAGCAGCATGTAGATACAATGTGTTTTCCCACCGGTCAATATTGTTGCCATTGACATGTTTGTGAGTTCTACGAACACAATAAACAAAGTTGAGTAATTGCAAATGCATATATCAATACTAGATACCCTAAACATGATGTGTACCAAAAATGTATGTCCTATCTTTATTTTAACATACTTTACTAATCGTTTATTTGGGAGCTTTCTTGCTGCCATCCTCTTCTCTTGGCACAAACAGGAAATAAACAGCTCTGGTCATGTGACTATTTACAGTAAACATGCGACAATG